ACTTTTAAATTAAAAAAACAATTCACTTAAGTTCTGTTTTCTCATGGAGATTTTCCTAAAATTGAATGTATAACTGTAAGTATAATGTAAGCCTGGAGCTGTAGGGACCACTGCATAGAGAAGGACTTCTTGATAACAAAGCCAACCCAGAGGAAAGCTGAGCCAAGAGATGGAGAGAGACAGACACTGGTAACATCATTTGAGGCCTATGGGTTCAACCATGCCTGAGCTTCTTAGTTCTGTGAGCCAATAAGTTTCTTTTATGGCTTATGCCTGTTGAAGTTGGATTTCTGTCATTTAAAAATCTGAGAAAATCCTGACTAATACAGAGACTGTGGTCAAAAGTTTTGGGGAAATGCTTCAAACTATCTCTGTTTCTTTCAGATTCGCAGCATGAACTAACTTATTGAAAGATCTGAGAAAACCTGCTATAAAGAAACATGTATATCTTTGTTAACCCATTGTCTCCCAAACTTGGTTGATGGTAGAACCTCCTTTTAACTGACAACTATGAACATCTATTTCACTGAGCACATTCTGGGATGTGATACTCTTCTAGGTCATGGAGGAAAGAGAGTTGTCAAAAATGTAAGGTTATTGCGATGTCCCATCACTGAAAAGGAAGACATTAAGTGGAGTAGCCTTTTATTAGATGAGCAAGTCTTGGTGAGTAGAGAAATCAAGGGGTCTGCTCTGCATCCTACACCTCATCTCCCTGTGGCACCAGGCTAGGGACAGTTGAGACCTTCATCATCTCTTTAAATAGCAAATTATGAGGTGCTCACTATAACCTGCTGGTCCTTCTTCTGCAAGGCTCTAAATATCGGTGGTTATTCCTGACTTCATTCTCCTCGACAAGGATCTCCACCACCTACCTGTAAGATGAAGTCATGCCGGGCCATTTGAAGTTCCTTTAGTTAAGGGGATAGGAAACCTTATCTTCAGGCTCCCATCACTTTCCCAACCCTGTACTTGCAAGCTTCAGCTTCTTAGATGGGCCTCAGAACTCTCAAACTCTGCCAGATAACAGCCATCTTTTCCACAATCATTCAAGTTTGAAGGCCTAGAACCAGAAGAGCTGATGATAGAAGTTCTAGTCCCAGTGCAGGAAACCAATGTCTCAGTTTGAAAACAGAGAGAGAACATTTCCCCATTGCAGTCTTCTGACTCAGAATCTAAATGTGAGGCCCATCTTAGATCAGAATATGAGCTGGAAGCCGTGGCCCATTTCTAAGGGATTTTAATTATCAGCCTCCTTAGGGAATAACTGCTCTGTGTGATAAAATGCAGAATCATTGAATACAGAGCAGGGATGTCAGCAGTTTCCAAAGATTTCAGTCTCTCCTTCTTACTCCTCCTGCATTTCATTCTCCTTCTGGCCCTCCCCTTCCCTAATTTTGGGAGGAACCAGGAAGATAGAGCCATTTGTTGAATTACCAGTAGGCAGAAATTGCACTATGTACTTTACATATCTTACTTCATTTTAATCCCCTAGTTAACCCTGTGAGGCAAAAAAAAAGGGGGGGGGGGCGGTGGGGCAGGTTCTACTTTATAGATGAGAAAACAGAAACTTGGAGAAATTAAGTAATTTTCCCAAGAGGTTAATGAGTAACAGAGCTAGAATTTAAACTGAAATCTATTTGATTCCAAAATCCATGCTTTCCCCACCATCACACTCCATGGTTAATTTAGGAATATCATATCACCCCTGATTGGAATGGATTAAAGATTCACACACAAAAAATGCCTGAAGCATCTTGTACTTGGTAAGCAATCAATATTAGGCTTAACTAGGTGACTAGACATGGACAGAAGCAGGAGATAAGGCAGTTTTCTACTCTATTAGGGAAATCCATAGCACCCTTTGAACAGAAATGTTCAAAAACATAATCATACTCATAAGGTATCAGACAAATTTATGAAATTTGCAATGTCCCTGTCTCACATCCCCATTCAACATAACAGACACTCCATAAATGACTCTTGAATAAACAAATGCTATATAATTTTCATAGTACTTGGATTTTTTCAAGGAAGGAATTCTTTAATATTTCTTGCTATGTTTTCACCCTGACAGTAATAATGAGAATACTAGGCATTTGCATAATCTAAACGAGAAGAGCTTTTTATTACCCATTCAACTTTTTTTATCTTTAGATGAAAGGTGAATTAGTGTTAAATATTTTAATCAGCTATTCAAAAAAGCATCATATGTCTCCCTTTCTGAGTGACATGAAAAATAAGTCTTTGGCTGGTACACTACAATCCTGAAGATTATTCATATTTAAGTCATATACTTCATCCTTTGGGTGTTCAATAAATGCTTGTTGTTGATTGACTTTAAGTAAAAAAAATTCTCTAAATAGTGAAAAACATTAGAACTGATTGTCACAAATCCTCTGTTCTGCTTTTATTCCCTTTCTCTTTTTCTAAAAAAACCACCTTAGATTTGCTAATATCAGCAATATAAGAAACACAGTCCCTGACCTGTTTGGCTTAGTGGATAGAGCATCTGCCTGCGGACTGAAGGGTCCCAGGTATGATTCCGGTCAAGGGCATGTACCTTGGTTGCGGGCACATACCCAGTAGGAAGTGTGCAGGAGGCAGCTGAACGATGTTGCTCTCTCATTGATGTTTCTGACTCTCTATCCTTCTCCCTTCCTCCCTGTAAAAAATCAATAAAATATATTTTTTTTAAAAAAAGAAAAGAAACACAGAAGTTCAAGTTTCAAAAGATAAAAGTACTTAAGGTACACATAAGCAAAGTACTACCAAACTGCATGTAGTATGTGTATGAGTCCATGATACTGAGCCAAAATTAGTGTAACAGAACTGGTAAAAAATTCACTGTATCCCCTAGAACCTGGAGAACCCAGAGGATATCACTACTAATCAATAAATGTATTCTTGTGGCAACAGTCATCTAAATGATTTGACTAATCCTGCAATTTATGGGTTGTAGTGAAATGTCAGACAATGATAAGCACTTCCCTAGGCTCAATAAATCCTTTATGAAGCCTGAGTGAGAACACAGGTCTTAGTCTAAAGTGGCAGTTATTAATGGACTATTTTTGTTTAACCCTGGGCAGTTATTTAACATGTAAGCCTCTTAATAGATGTTGCAGTAGATCTCTATTTCTAAGCAAGGATTCAGCATTGTTGATCTTGACTTTACTTCTTATAATCCAAGAACTGATTTACTTTCTTCCCTCTCTCTCCTCCTTCCCCCTTCCTCTTTCATTTCTTCCTCCCTCCCTTCTTCTAACTTTCCCTCCCCCCTTTCATTCTTCTTCACCTACCTCTCTCATTCCCTTCTTTTTTCTCCACAAGAATTTCTTAAGTCTCTACAATAGGCCAGATCCCATACTAAACCGTAAAGATGAACATTATAGTGTCCCTGAATTTAAGGTGCTTACAGAAAATTGAAGGTGGCAAAACATAAAAAGAGATGATTTTCAGAGCATAAGTCACTAATAATGTTGCACTATTAAAGGAAGCTATAAAATATTACCAGAATAGAAAAAAAAAAGTCAGCAGGTTCCAATGGTAACAAAGAGTAAAGAAATGTATTCTGAATGTGAGGTTATACATGGTCAAATAAATTGAAACTGATGAAAACATATTGTCGCTCAGTTTTTAAGGCATGACTACTTTATAATGGAAGAAAATCATAAAGCAGGTAGTCATGATATCCAAATTTATGATATAAATCATACTTGAACATCAGAAACACTTTATTACTAGCAAAAATTGTATTAATGCTTTGAATATGTAATGATTTTGAGTAATATTCATTTAATTAAAAAAAAGTCTTGATCCTAAAATACACATTAAATGTTTATAAATTCTTAACTATGCTTTTATTATATCTACAAGATAATCTTTTCCACAGTTAATTCACTTAACAAATATTTATTGAATACCTCTTATCTGCCAGGTACTGTGTCAGCTGCTTAAAAAAAAAAGATAAAACATATACTGGTAAAAGTCTCAAATTATGTAATACAAATCACTGGCACAGCAGAGTTTTCTTCAGAAAAAAAAATGTACTTTATAACAAACTTGGCTAAAACACAAATATCCCAGTTAATAGGGCATGACTGCCTTTGCTGTTTTAGAACCACCATTCTGAAACCACAAAGCACAGGCTTAGCGTGAAATGGAACTCAGTTCAAACTCAGCTCTGCTCCTTCTTGTAGCTCTCACTCTATCTGTGGAATCCGAGGAATCACCCCAACTTCACAGGCATATTGTGAACATGACAAGGTATGTGTACATGTAGTAAACACCCAACACGTGGTAAGCTCTTGATACTGCTACTACCTCTGTTTATATCTCATTTTGTAACTAAATCAGAAGATTTTGAAGTCAAATAAAATCTCAGTTTTTACACAATGGTATGTCCTAGTACATTTGTGTATTTAAGAATGACTGAGGGATAACTGGAATTTTTTATTTAGATATAATTGTTTGTAGAGTCTTTCTAAATCATAAGAACCACCATTCTTGCTTTAATAGCCTTAATATAATCTAAGACAGTGATGGTGAACCTATGGCACGCGTGTCAGAGGTGACACGCGAACTCACTTTTTTGGTTGATTTTTCTTTGTTAAATGGCATTTAAATATATAAAATGAATATCAAAAATATAAATCTTTGTTTTACTATGGTTGCAAATATCAAAAAATTTCTATATGTGACACAGCACCAGAGTTAAGTTAGGGTTTTTCAAAATGCTGACAAGCCGAGCTCAAAAGGTTCGCCATCACTGATCTAAGATGATGCAGTATTTTCAAACAAGAAATTCTAGATCCTGAATTAGGCTAAAAACATCCATGCCCTCGTATTCCCAGTTACCATGTACAAGTGTGAAAGTGGGACAGTGAAGAAGGCTGACAGGGGAAAAAACGATTTATCTGAAAGATGGTGTTGGAGGAGAACTCTACAGATACTCTGGACTGCCATAAAGATGAGCAAATGGATCCTAGAGAAAATTAAACCTGACACATCGCTGGAGGCAAAAATGACAAAACTGAAGCTATCCTCCTCCTGGTACATCATGAGAAGGCTAGGTTCTTCGGAAAAGACAATAATGCTGTGAGAAAATGGAGGGCATCAGGAAAAGGGAATACCAAGTATGAGATGGATTGACTCCATAAACGAAGCCATGGGCATGAGTCTACAGGAGTTGAGCAAGGCTACGAGACACTGTGGACATCATAAACTCATAGGGTCATCAGGAGCCAGAACGAACTCAGTGGCACATAACACACACAGATTAGTAAATATTTGAACCAATGATTCTGTGTGTGTGTGTGTGTGTGTGTGAACATTTCAGTGCCTCTTTACCAGAATTATTAAGGCGAATTAACTGATCAGTAACAAAGATGATGATGTAGCAAATGAGAGTCATGTTGAAATGGATTGACTCCCAGGGACACATTCCGATACTAGCAATTGCTTTCAGAACTCATAGGAAGTGTACCATGTGTCTATTGATGATGGTAAAATCTCTAATTTGACTTTTTCCCATTTATTAAAAATCAAAATCAATTGCAAATTATGGTTTACTGTATTCCTATTGTGATTTTGTACCATTTCTAAATGACACATGTTGCAACTTGCTTCTCCCCTTCCAAATTATTTCACCAACAGTTTGAAGAAGACATTTAGAAGATGTTTGCTAGCTCTGATCACTTAAAATTAGAGTAAAAAGATCACTTAAAATTGTAGTTAGAGAGTTTCTCATTTACCTGAAAAGAATTGTAGTCAAAAGCATTTAAAATGAAAATGATTTGGTAATCATCTATGAAAGATGATTTGTGGTAACATTTTTGTTTTTGTTTGCATTATAGAATTTACTGCTTTTTGTGTATATATTCACATGTTCCTTTCTTTTTATTCCAATAAAGTATTTGTGTTAAATATAAGAAAATTGAACCAATTATAAAAATAATCAAAATAAAATTTTTAAAATGAATCCTGACATTCTCTTCCTATAAATAAGTACTTATTAATAAATATTTAAAATCACATATAAAAACCTATTTCCAAATTATAAGATTTCTTTTCCTATTACATATGATGATATTCTTAGCCTGAACAACCATGTCATTGTTGATTTATTTATGCAAGATTCACATTTTATAGATGCCAATGGACCCTTTTATCCTTAAGTAAATACTTTGATTAAAAGTTGTATTACTTGTAAATATGTGTTATAAATGAAATCTTTTCCTTTTTTGGCCTGGTCTCCTCCCACCCTCACTCCCTTCATAAAGATTTTTTAAGGAGAAAAGGAAATAGCTAAATGTGAGGGATAAGGGAGAACTTAAAATAAAAAAGCAGTTCATTTGTCAACCAATGGTTTCTTATTTGGTACATTAGTGACCAGATTCTATCTAGATGTCCTCCTCTCTTACCACTAACTAACACATAATAATTGTAAGTAAGTACTTTATATGTGGAAGGCCTGATTAATGTCTCTAAGTAGCTCATAGTGTTTGGCAGGGTCTTTATCCCGCCGCCCCCACAGTGCACAAATTTTTTGTGCACCGGGCCTCTAGTTTTTTAATAAAAAAATTTAAATATATTTCTGCAAAAAATGCACAAGTGATATATCTCTTTTTTTAAAAGCTGAAGGGAAGGAGGACACATGAAGAGACCATGTCAAAGAACATGCTCACATATTTAGCCCACGAAAGAATTAGAATGCTGGTGTGTGTGTATGTGTGTGTGTATGTGTGTCTGTGTGTGTTTTGAATGTTTCTCCATTTCTGTCTTTTTTCCCTTCTCTTCCTCTGTACCTCTGAATTGTTCTTTACTAGTTTATTTCATACAAGCCATAGGTCTTACCCCTTGTCCTGAGTCTTTGAGTCTGCTTCACCGAAAGGTGGCAAATTTGGGTGAATACATTTGGTCTGATGGTTCAACATGGCCTGACATGCATGGCAGCTTGATAATAATTTCAGAGAGCATAGTCGGAAAGAGACATCTGGTGAAGAAAAAAGAGAGGTTATAGATCTATGGTAGTGCTTTTTATATAGAGATTCTGATAAGAAATGCCTAACTTCTACCATGACCAAGACAAAGGGCACAGGAAAGGTCCTGCCCCCTCAACTCCCACACAACCAGCAAACCCTTACCGAACATCATTAAAGCTCCAGATACTGTGCTGAAGCTTGTACCGAATGCAAAAACAAATGAGGTCATGTCCCATCCTCTTGAATTTTGAAATGCTGTCCAGCAGGAGAGATAGGCATGCAAACATGCCTAATTATAAAGTGAAATGAGTTATAGTAAAGTACAAGTTTTTTAAAAAGCTTTGGGAGTATGGAGGATAGAGTAATCCTATCCATTCATAGATATAATTTACCCCTGCCCCTTTAGGCTGCCTTAAGGTTTAGTCAAATCTGATGTCATCTGGATAAAACTTCAGGCAATGGAGGGCAGCAAGGAGAAAGTCATAAAATGTAATTTTCTCTGAATCATTCTTATACCCTCAATGTTGAAGGGCACCTTGGCCCATTGCCCGATAGCCATTTCCAAACCTGGAAACTCTCACTAGTGCTTGTGGATAGACTAGGCCAGCCAGCAGTGGCATAGGTACAGCCTTCTCAACAAACACCCTAACAACATTTTTTTGCCTTTGAACAATAGTGACAGAGATAAAGCATTAGCTCCATGGGTCTGTGGTTGGTAGTTCCCATCTATAAATAGTCATTTAATTGAATGATGTTTTTATTTAATAAAGAGAAAAGTGACTAGAAAAGTTTATTAAAATATATTAGCATACAACATCAGTTCTCAATGTGTAAGTGGTAATGTGAAAAGTGGCAGATGATTAATTCTTGACTTGGTCAGTTACACTTGAGTAATCAAAGTTGGGAGTCATTCTGAAATAGCCACTACACGTTAGGCAATTTAAACTTCTCTCAATGCTCTTGTAGAATTTTCACTCAGACTTGTTCATATGTCAAACTGGTTGCCAACCTTCTAAAGTCAGAATGGATTTATACCAATAAAGGGCTGGAAACTGACATAGGGTTTCTTAGAGAGCAAATACACCAATCTAGTATTGTACAACTAGTAAAAAATGAATTTCAGCCAAATCGTGGTACCAAGGTTGATGCAGGATAACTTTGATTTCATTTCTTTGACAAAGAAGCTATTTCTTAAGATGCAAGTTTTTTAACATTTTGACTGAGTTTCTTTCTCTGAGTTTCTAATTCCAAAAATGTAAATCCTCTACAGAAGGACCAAAAAAGACTAGGAGAATTTTTTCCAGTAAATAGTTTAATAAGTGGTCAATTTGATGTTATAAAATGTAATAAATTATGATTGCCTTAAGTGTTTAAGCACTAAGTAGATCTTCCTCTACTCAATATAGAAATTAATTATTGTTTTATAAGTTCCTCTTGAATTCCAACAGTGATCATTATGGCAACAGTGAGAAGACACTCCATATTACCATTAAAATCATCCTCAAAACTGCAATTATGTGATATCCTTATCATATAAGTATGGTTGAGAACTACATACTTATATGCAGCATATCTTTTCTTTAGAGTCTTTGGTCCAAATCAGCTGCAAAAATAAAATAAAATAAAATCACAATATGAGTAAAGTAAAACACATAAATACACATTTGGCTTGTTGAACTTAAGTTGATCCTGACAAAAGAAGTAATTTTCATACCTTTGAGTATTTCGCTAATAAATATCTTGAGCACTAATCAAACCCTTGCTAAAATTCATTGCTGCGTTATAATTGCATGTATGCAGGACTTTATATGTTCATTGATCTAGTTGGGTTTTTTAAGTTGTTCTAATGACCAAAACCTCATATTCCCAATCACTGAATAATCCAGGCTGTCTCCGTGGTTATCAATTTGTACAAGAAGGAAGAAACTTGGCATAGTGCTTGTTTATTAGGGTTCTCCAGAGAAACGGAACCAATAGGCGATATGTTACCAGTACATATGAATTGGCCCATTCAGTTATGGAGGCTGAGAAGGTCTGTGATCTGCCATCTGCAAGTTGGAGGAACAGGAAAACCTGTGGTATAATTCTGTTCAAGTCCAAAGGCCCAAGAACCAGGAGTGCACATGTCTGAGCGCAGGAGATGAATGTCTCAACTCAAGCAAAATGAAATTCTCCCTTCCTCCCACCTTTTTATTTTATTCAAGCCCTCAAACGATTGAACGATACCCACCCACCCAGTGGTGAGGGTACTCGTCTTTACTCAGTCTACTGGTTCAAATGCTAATCCCTTCTGGAAACACCCCCACTGACCACACCCAATAGTAATGTTTACTGGCTATTTGGGCATCCCTTCGCCCAGTCAAGTGCACAAATAAAATTAGCCATGACAGGTGCTGTTATCAGCTTCATTAATAACATGACTTCTGACATTCACTTACAAGCTTTTATGGGCCTGGCACTATGCTAACCATTTTATATTCATGATTTCATTTAGTCCTCTCAACAACCCAGTGTGACAGGTACTGTGTAATAATCATCTCCATTCTCCAGATTAGAAAATTGAGGCTTAGAGAAATTCACAGGGTAAGAGGTAGGACAGGCATTAAACACACAGGTCTGACACCAAAAGTCAACACCCAAAACTTCAACCCTCTAATTGACCACTTCCAACTTAAAAACAGGTGCTTGGCTATTTTAAACATCCCATCTAAAACATCTCAAAGTCAAGGGATATTACTGTTTTTGGTTAAATAAACAATGTGATTTATAGGCTTTCTTGAATTGAGAGCTTTCATGTACTTACTTATTATTTATACCCTATCTTGTCTTAGAGATAAAACTGGGATTTAATACCAAAAAAAATCGTCATAAAAAGCAGTTGGTCAGAAAACGAATCTAGCAAAAACAGAAAATGTTTGAACCAGAGTTACACTAGCTGCCATGAACACATGTCACTTTACACCTTCTTTCTTACCAGGGCCTATTGGGAAAGCATTAAGTTGACCTCAACTCCAAGTTTCCTGAGGTTTGGCAGGCCATCTTCTATTGAGGGTTGGGATGACCACACAAGCAGTCCAAACAGCTGCTCTGGGACTAGGACCTCAGGGTGTGGCTGTTTAGGCTGATGTGGGTGGTAGCAGTGAGCAGACCACAGGGCCAGGTTCCTGCAGCAGGCCTCTCAGAAGCCACGTGATCAAAGGAGGTCTCGGTATTTTCCCACCCCTGTCACATAACCTCACTTCATCCAGATAGTTGGTCAGTCAGAGGGAGGCTTCCACTCCAACCAGGAGAACAAGCTGAGGTGGCAAAATTCCACCCCAATGTGGGGGAGTGCCAGGCTTCCAAGCAGCCATGTGCCAATTCGCAGGAGCTCCTGGGTATGAAACAGGCCTGTCAGTATACACGTCAGTGTTCATCCCACTGATGTGACTAAGCTGGGAGCTCATTCCGCTGTGGGGGTGAGCCTGTCCTTTTCATTCCTCTAAGGATTTCTTGAAAGTTGAGAGATCACGAGGAGCTGCCAAAATGAGCATGTGCAGATGGCAGGTAAGGTTTCACACCGGCAAAGAACGAGCACTTTTGTGTGTGTTTTTTCTGGAGTGGCAGGTCACAATCCGCTATTAACACAGGAGGCTCACTGGGAAGCCAAACAGAAAAGCACATTGATATTCACATTAGGCAGAAAAGGGCCCATGAAGCTGTTAGAAAACCTGGAGGGAAATAGAAGCTGAAGAAACTTTCCTACTCACACAGTAATGAGGTTTATCTGCCCAGAGACTGTGGTGGTACTTTAGATACAAGTTAGGGGCATTGAGATTTAACTTAGGATAATTCATTATAAATTATTTTGTATTGGAAGTTTCAGAAGAGTAACTCAAATATTTCAGAAATCTCTGTTTTTTCTTACACTGTGTTTGCCTCCACCACCAAGTGAACAGCTCTGATACAGTAACCTGCCCAGAATAATTGACTCCTACCTCTATCCTTGCTTCTGAATATTCAACCCACAGCTGGAGGAGTGAAGTGAGAGGCAGGAAGCCTGACAGCGAAGAAAAGCTCTCTCAGGGGCTTTGGGAGTTGGGAGATGTGTTTTCCAGAGTGTTAGACACACTTCTTTAGTCCTAATTGAGAACGCTGTTATCAGCATCCTGTAATTCAAATGCCAAATTTAAATATCAATTTAAATTAAACAGGAATGGGGGGAGGGGAAAGCCCAAAACCACTTTAATAGGATAAAAACTTCATTTCCTAGATTATCTACATTAATTTGTGTAAATAGCTATCTAAGTCCATATCTGGATATTGCATTTTCAATATGAAGAAATGGAATAAATATAAACATTGGAATCAGAAAGCTCACAGTTAAATCTAAACTCTCCAGGGGTGTGGAACATTTTTCTGCTGAGGGCCATTTGTATATTTATAGCATCATTCGTGGGCTATACAAAATTATCAACTTAAAAATTAACCTGCTATATTTGGTCAAATATTTAATTAACTCACCCCTGATGCCTTGGCAGGGCCAGACCAAATGTTTTCACAGGCCTTATACAGTCCATGGGCTAGGTATTCCCCACCCCTGGAATAGTCTATTCCTTCATATGACTTTGTACCAATTACATACACACTCTAAGCCTTGGGTTGTCATCTGAAGAATGAGGAAATATAATACCTAGGTAATAGAGAACGAAAGTCCCCTCACCAGTTTGTAAATTTGATGAGAGCAGAGAATCTGAGGTTTTTGCGTTTGTCTCCCTTATGGCTGTATCTCTAGTACCTAAGATATTGCCTGACACTCAAATATTTGTTGAATGGCCCTAACCGGTTTGGCTCATTGGAGGGAGCATCAGCCTGCAGACTGAAGGGTCCCGGGTTTG